TAAATCCTCAAGATATAGGGCTCTGATACCATTTTTATTTCAGAGTCAACTCCATAAGAAGGAGCAGCCCACTCTGTGGTACCTATCAGCTTGCAACTGTTTATGGTTTAACAGCATCCCCTACGGAGAGCCTCGGTTCGGGCATGAGTCCCGAGTGAAAGGATCGGGGCTTTTCATTATTGCTCTGATACCATTTTTATTTGACCTAAAATGCAAAAATACAATTAATACCTAAAATGCAAAAATACAATTAATTATTAAATTTTGAGTTTCCTAAAACGCAAAAATTCAAAAATAAAATTATTAATCAATATCAAATTTTTCGGCTCAAGATAGGTGGAAAGAGTTGATGGTGAAGAAAAGTTAATTTTTATTGCAAGGGGCAAACAATTTTGTCGAATCCAAAATTAGAATTAAAGTTATGAGGACTAAAATAACTTATTTTGAAACCTTTTATATTAAGGGTATTACCAAAATTAGAATTAAAGTTATGAGGACTAAAATAACTTATTTTGAAACTTTTTATATTAAGGGTATTTTAGGTAGTTTATCTGTTTGAATAGTGAAATGGGTTAGTTTGGGGTTAGTTTGGAATTTTGGCTTTGAATTTGGGTCATTTGCTTGTATTTCCCCTGTTTTGTAACGCTTAAAAATAGAGGTGTCAATTCGTGTGATTTGGGTCGGGTCGGATCGGCCAGCCAACATATGAGATCGGTAACGGCTCGCGTGAAAAAAAGCTCGCCCGTTACGGGTTCTGGGTCAGCCCACAAATTTTGGATTGCAACCCAAACCAACCCGCTGACCCATCTGAGTCGAGCCTATGCAGGTCACGGGTCGCGTGGGTCGTGGTTTGTTTCGATTTATCCCGTATTATTGTATAAATAAAATTATAAAAATATAGAATTTTTCATATTTATAACAAAAAATATTTTTTTGGTTAAATGTAAACTAAGAATTGAACAAAATGATAAATTCATATTTATACCGAAAAATGTTTACATAGAATTCAAATTTAACGTTAAATGAATTATTTATAACTTTGTAAAGTTAAATTTAACTAAAACAAATAACAACTAAATGCATTTCTAATGACCATTAAGAATTGAACAAAATGATAAATTCATATTTATACCGAGAAATGTTTACATAGAATTCAAATTTAACGTTCATGAATTATTTATAATTTTGCAAAGTTAAATTTAACTTAAACAAATAACAACTAAATGCATTTCTAATGACTATTATCAAATATTTATAGTATAAGTACATCTCAATTAGGTGACACCTACTTTTATTATAATTTATAGTTTAAATATATCACAACTAGATTGACACCTACTTAAATCTTAACTATAATTTAGTTATTCAAAAATATATAATTTTAATATTTGTTTTCCAATCAATTTTCAGGAACTGCAAGATTTTTTAAGTCTTCAACAACATCATCAATAATTTTATCTTGCATCTTTCGATCCGCGACTATCCAATCTTTCACGCATATGAGAGCTTCCAAAATATCTTCTTTAAGTCTAAATCTTCTTTCGTCCAATACCCTGTTACCTGCACCAAAAGCAGACTCAGATGCCACTGTTGAGACTAGAACTTTTAGTATATCTCGTGCCATTTTAGATAATAAGGGTATGTCTGCTCATTTAATTTTCACCATCGTAAAATATCTAAATTATCCACTTCATCTTCATGTATTAAACTATAATGATCAAATTGATAATATATTTCTAATTCAGAAGGTGTGGTATTTGGATTTGCAGTTAAAACTGTAGATGAAGAACCAAAAACATTACATTTCTTAGCTATTATGGAGAAAAAAAAAGATTTATCTTTAGAAGTTGTATTAGAGCTGTTATGCTTAGAATCCTTTTTTTTTTTTCAAATTTTCAAAATTTTTTTTTCACGGGCCAGAATGCTAACCGTGACCGTGAAGGTGCAACCCGCGAAACTCGCGGGTCACACCTCCTTGACCCGTGGCCTGAGCGGGGACCCGTGAACCGCCCGCTCAGGCCACGGGTCGGCCCGCGGTCCTGGGCCGATTTTCACGGGTTTGACCGACTCGTCCGTCTTGACACCTCTACTTAAAAATAAAGGTGTTCTTTTTGTATGTGGCATGTTAGGTAAATATTATTTAAAATTTATTTTTAATAGTATAATTTTGCATTTAGACTCAATTTTTCTTACTTTTTAATCACATATTATTTAATAAAATCATTTCTCACAAAATCTATTTCAAAAAAATTACACCA